TAAAATTGATATAATTTTTTTATGTAAAAATTATGGATTAAACTCAAAACCTATGATTAAATTGAGGAGAATGGATGGGAGGGGGAAAAAATTCTTTTTATTTTATTTTTTTAATTTAACTATTTATTCAAATGAAGGGAGGGGAGGTGAGGTGAGGGAAGGGGAAAATTTCGCCCCGCCCCCCCCCCTCCCTCACCCAAAAGTCTAGCTCTATCCCCACTTGTATATGACATCCATCACATGAGCAAAATTTAGAACTCAAGTGAGTATAGGAACGGGAATGACTATTGGTTTTATGAACCCTTCATTAATATCTTTCCATGCATTCACAATTTCTTCCCGAAACAACTTAAGTCTCTTCCTCTAAAAGACCATATTGCTTCATATAACATTTAATAACTGAGGCAACATGATCTCATTTTTGCTCAAACTGCATTTGGTTGGCAAAGTAATTAGTTGATAAATCTTGTGAGTGTTTGAACATGTACCAAAGTTAATTAACCCTATAGTTTAAATTTACAATTAATGAGAACCAACCCAACTAAAACTATATGCGTACCTCATGTGGGACAATATCATCCATGAGTCTACAAATAATTGTGGAAGCTTTAGCCATTTTAGGGCCATTAGAGATCCAATCGAAGGCCTTCTTGGTTGCAACTTTTCCTATGCCAACAAAGGAACTTGTTATGAGCATTGCATAACCCGTAGAAATGACAGCAACCTGCATATACTCCTCCATAGGAGGAACATAGCCTACTTGGTGCCACTTGACTTCATGAAAGTATGCTTTTATTGTTTGCTTCATCTATTCGTGAAATTAAGCTCAGAATCCAAAATCTCCAAAATATGAATTAAATTATTCATATGACAATTAGTTATTTACCAACTCCTTTGCATAATCCATAGCATATGATCTTTCGTCTTTTGCAACCTCTGACCTCCATATCACTATAAATATTTAACAGTGCCTGATGATAAACCAATTTCATATATTCTAAAAGTTTATCTATGACACTAATATCCCACCTAGATGTTAGGGGATCAAAATTATGAATATCAATTTCAAAATATATGAATATATGCCAATAACTTGACTAAAATGGTTGAGTTTGAAGCTCAAAAACTAACCTTTCAATACACTTAGTTAAGAGTTCTAGTTCATCATTTTTCTCATAGTTATCATATGTGTCATTCAAAATGGATACAATGGCTATTGCTTTAGTTAGAAATGTCCTTGCTAAGAGTATTTGGGTTCAAAGTAAACTCCTATTGCCCAAAAATAGCACTCCACAACTCTATGTCCCTTACATACGATAGCTTTGTTGTAAAATCTAGTTTTTTCCACCACTTAAAAACTAAGTCAAATTCGAAGCCTAAGATAATAAATCACCATCGTTATAAGTTTACTAAATGAATAAACAAAAAATATCGAACTTACTCGGTAATTTCATTGAGCTCTTTTAGATGGAATGCTAGTAACATGTTGAAATCTATCTTTGCAAATATAAGTAGCATTGCATAAGAGGAAGCAAAATTGTTGTCTCTAGAGTACAAAGAGAAGTAAATGCCTTGCTTCAACTCTTGGTAAGCCTTTTCGAATGGGCCGGTTCAGGTCATGGGGTATTTGTTCTAAAAGCAAAAGGTTTACCTTTGTTGCCATTAATTCAAGATGAGAGGTAGTGAAAGCAATAGTTTCATCCAGGATATCCTCTCCGTGAGGGCGAAGATGTGTAGCCTTATCAGATTCAACATTCTAAGCACATTATTTACTAAGTCTTCCTTGAATTTTCCTTTCTCATCCACGAATTTCTTGAATATCTCTACATCAATATATAACATGAACACCATGAGTGTGGCTAACTAAAAATTAACCCACATCATAATTCATAAACACAAATCTTTTATTATTAAAACATTTTATGAACGTTAAGAAAATAAACTAAATAGATGGAACTTTGATTCCTTGTTCTCTAATAAACGAAATCAAAGAGCAATTGTTTGAAGATAAAATTCAACACAATCAACACCACCAAGATGGATCTTCTCTAAGGCATTGTTGATTTCTATCTCAAAATGGTAAGCAATGCCCAAGCATTGGACCTGCATCAATTAAATGCAATTTCTTTGAAAGATTGATGGTGGTATCATCAACTAGCATCCTCCTTGCTTGTTGCTTTAGTTCTTCATATTCTTCTTGTTTCTGGATTCAATTTTCTACAAAATCATTCCAAAATAGAACATTAAATATGTGGTGATACAGGCATGGCAAAGACACTCAACTTTCGAAACTAAATTAGGAAGGGTTCGATGAAAACTCAAAATGCAGAACTTAATTATGTAAGTAATAGTCAAATATAGAAAGTAATTAACTGGACTAGTATGAAATACCATGTAATTGGAAGAATGTTGAAGGAAATAATCCTTCCAAAGGCTAGGGTGATAACCAGACATGGGTCGACGGATATTTTGCAGGTTGTATTTTTAGGTGGGGAGGGAAGGACCAAGGGTACAGCTGACATTGTTCTACTATAAGTACTAGAGGGGAATAGCTACTTGAAGGCTTTTGTGCCCCAAGGAGATTGAGGGCTTTGGTCGTATTTATAGGGATGTATTGTCCACATATGGGGTTTCTTTTCCTTTAAAAAAAACAAAATTATTAAGAGGTCACAAAATTCAATTGACAACTCAACGTTTATAAGGTTGAAATCGGAGTATAGATTGCACCAGGCCTCAGTGCACCCAATTCCTTGGCAATGGCTAAGGTTCTAGTATGACACTATCATATTAAAAATTTATATCTAATAAATAGATAAAATTGAGTGAGTTCAAATTAAATTATCTCAAATTTTGAATTTATTAAATTAGGTCATTTCAAATTTCAAATTAAAGGGGATAGACCTATAAATCACCCATATAGATTTTGAATTGGATCATGTGAACTCAACTCTTAAAAAAAAATTAAGATTAAAATTAATTTTTTACAATATTTTCTCTATTTTTCATTAAAAAATTTAGTATTAATTAATTATTTTGTCTAAAAAATGCTAAATTAATATTAACACTAATAATTTAGTAAATAATAACTATTTTATAGTATTTAATTTTATTTTATATTTAAAAATTAAAATTAAAAGTATAATTAATTAAAATTTTGAATTTTAAAAAATTAATTAAATTTAATTGGGTTATTTCGAATTAACCCAATCCAAACCTGATCCAACTCAATGGAGTTCAAGTAATTTCGATCTGAATTATATCAAATTCTAAATTGATACCTTAAACTTTTGACTTTATGCACAATAGATGAGTTTGGTCAGATTTTCGAAATGGATTCAATTTTACCAGTTTTATCCAAATTTTAGCTATTTCAAAAAAAAAAAAAAAGATAGAGTACATTAAGGTTTAGAATTAGGGCAGAACTCCCAAATTTGTGCCTTAAATAAGAGAGCAAGGACAAATCTATCCCCAAAAAAAGCAAAGACAAATTGTCCCTTCAAATTATCAATTAAAACAAATCACTCATTATTTAATGTGTGATATCATCACACATCAAAAATCTGTTTGGCACCTAAGCATTTCTTAATAAAAAGCTAACATGTGATGATGTCACATATTAAATAATGATTGATTTATTTTGATAGATGATTTAAATGGGAAATTTATTTCTATAATTTTTTAAGGATGAATTTATCTCTACTCTTTTATTTGAGAGACAAATTTGAGGGTTTTGCCTAAGATTGGAGTTTTGTTTTCGAGTGCTGTATTGGCCAAGCTAGGTTGGGTTGTGATAGTAGATATAATAGGTGTTAACACTAAAAAATAGAATAGATGGTGTGGAACCGAGATCTTTTTTGTTAGCGAGAGTTTACAATGAAGAGAGAATATAGATGAAAAATAATCTACCTCCTTAGATTGATCGTAGAGGTATTTATAGGATACTTAAATACAGTTATTCTAGGAATACAATTTTATTTAATTGGTGTTTGGGGTATTCTTATTCTAGTGGAATTTATCCTAGCCAACTTTGATAAGAGTATCTCTAGAATGTCTCCACGTGTCCTGATTCTCATGGGACTTGATTTAGGGTATAACATTTGCCCCCCCACGAAGAAGTTTGAGGGCAGCAAAAACTTCAACGGGTCTCTCTTTCTTATTGTTCTGCTAATCTTGGTTTTGAATTCTACGCAAGTTCCAACTTTTTCAACCGTGGCTACCTCATTAAAAACCTTAACTAGAAAAAACCCTATGGGATAAAAAATCTAGCTTAAGGAAAAAAGAGTGCAACGCAGGTTTTTCCTTCATGATTCCTAGCGCAATTTTCTCATTAAAAAATATTTTTGTTGAAATTAATTGTTCTGTAGATTTGTGCTGATTTGTTCAGGTCCTTTCTTGATTTTTTCATATCTCCACAGCTGCATTTCCTGCATTTCCTGCTTCTTGTGCAGCCTTTTATGCACGTGGCCCCCATTGTATGGTTTATTGGTACAGCAGGTCCTTTCAAGTTCAAACTCCTATTTCCTTGGGATTTTATGCAATTTATCCTTTTGGCTTTCAAATGGAGCTTTCTTGGGTTTCTCGATTCTTCTTTTTCTTTTTGGTTTGACTACTTTTTTTATTTCTTTTTGTTTTCTTTCTTTTTTTCTTTCTTTTTGCTTTTTCATTTTCTTCCTTTTGAGAAATACTTCTTTGATCTTGTGACCCAATCACACCGGTTGTCTATGATGGTCATTAATCCTTCTTCTTCCAACTCTGTTCCGATCCTTGCTTCCGTTGGTTCTTGCATTTTCTTTCTTCTTCTTTGCCATTTTTATGTTTTGACGGAGGGGAATCCTTCAAAATCTGTTGTTATGGCTCCAATTGCTCGGGATATTACCGAGATGGGGGTGGATCCATTGTCAGAGGTGATCTTAGAAATTTCTCGTGGCCATGACAATTTCTCTTTCTGTTGTTGCCAGTTTTTCCCGTTCTTGCCTTTGTTGGTTCAAAAGTGAGCCTATCTTCTTCCGAATCCGAGTGTTTTGACGTTTTCCATTTTCCTGGCTGGTTTTTGGTGAAGGATGCTTTACGTCATGTAGAGAGGAATCCCATGACCCTTCCTTTTCCAATGGAGGTTCTTACGATTTTTTCTCCCAAGCTTGTCTTCTTAACTAAAGAGAGAGTAGTTGGTCCTCCAATGCCTTCAAGAACGCTGCATCCAAGAACAACACCACCTTCATTGCCTCAATCCTTTTATCTCCATCTCATCCAAACCCTCCCCCAATTCCAACTGCCGAGATCGTGAAAGGAGGCGAGATAGGGAATGCTGCTCGGAATGCTACAATTGCCAACATGATGAGGAAGCCAAGGAGCGTGAGTGTGCGTGGTTGGAGAAATTGGCGGATCAAGATCGTGAGAAGGAGTTGAAGGTGATTAAAGAACAGTATATTGGATCAAAATCCTCACAAGGCCTAGCTTAAGGGTTCCGAGCCGGAGTTGACCAGAGGGAGCAGAGAAAGCTTGCTGCCAAGAATGTGAGAGAGATGTAGTCCCTTGCTAAGTTGATTGTGCTTGATCGCATCTTTGAGTTTGAGAGCATGGATGTTGTTGTGTAGGTTTAAGTTGATCCAAAGTTGAAGAAAGTTTATGATTAAGGTTCAAGGCATGTTCCTTTGGGCAGATCTCTAGTTGAAGTAGAGTAAGGATTGGACAGCTTTTGAGGATGCAGAGGATTCTGTTATAGCTATGCACAGTTGGAGTTGTTTTGTGAATGCGGAGGTTCTCAAGGTACCCATTCTCTCTAAATGCTCAGCTTTTCAGACCTCTTGTTGAACTTGCATATAAGAACATTTATTTTTGAAAAAACATTTGGGTTGTACTGTTTTAATTCCGTTCTTTAAATTTGCTCAGGTTTATGATGTTGGTTCTCATTATCCATCTGTTTTTTGCAACTCATTGGTACTTTGGATTCCCCCTGCTTGCATGCTAAGGTTGATCTTATTTAGATACGAGGGAAGAGCAAAGGTATGATAAACCTGTGTTATCAGTTTAAGAATGCTATGATTTATTAAAAAAGAAGAAAGAACTTATCTCTTTTGTTGCTTTTGTCTTGAATCGTCCAATTCTGCTTATCAGCAATTGAATGAGCTAGCTTCAAAGATTTTGCTTTAAAAAGTTCTATTTCTAACTTGAGTTTTGGTTTGAAATTTGCATTAACCTCTATAGCGCATCTTGCATAGCTTTTGTCAGGGTATTTATGTACAGCCAAAGCTTGCTCGCCGCCTTTTGCTTGGGTGTTTATGTACACCCAAACTTACTTATAGCTTTCATTTGCCTGTGTATCTTTTGCTTGGGTATTTTATGTACACCCAAACTTGCTCGCAGCTTTTTGCTTGTCTGTGTAACTTTTGCTTGGGTATTTTATGTACACCTAAACTTGCTCATAACTTTTTGCTTGTTTGTGTAACTTCTGCTTGGGTATTTAATGTACACCCAAACTTGCTCATAACTTTTTGCTTGTCTGTGTAACTTCTACTTGGGTATTTAATGTACACCCAAACTTGCTCACAGTTTTTTGCTTGTGTAACTTCTGTTTGGGTATTTAATATACACTCAAACTTGCTCACAGCTTTTTGCTTGTGTAACTTCTGTTTGGGTATTTAATATACACTCAAACTTGCTCACAGCTTTTTGCTTGTGTAACTTCTGTTTGGGTATTTAATGTACACTCAAACTTACTCACAGCTTTTTGCTTGTTTGTGTAACTTCTGCTTGGGTATTTAATGTACACCCAAACTTGCTCACAGCTTTTTGCTTGTCTGTGTAACTTCTGCTTGGGTATTTAATGTACACCCAAACTTGCTCACAGCTTTTTGCTTGTGTAACTTCTACTTGGGTATTTAATGTACACCCAAACTTGCTCACAGCTTTTTGCTTGTGTAACTTCTACTTGGGTATTTAATGTACACCCAAACTTGCTCACAACTTTTGCTTGCATAACTTTTGCTTGGATATTTATGTACATCCAAACTTGCTTGCAGCTTTGGCTTTTTGCTTGGGTATTTATGTACACCCAAACTTGCTCACAGCTTTTGCTTGCGTAACTTTTGCTTGGATATTTACGTATATCCAAACTTGCTCGCAGCTTTTTGCTTGTCTGTGTAACTTCTACTTGGGTATTTTATGTACACCCAAACTTGCTCATAGCTTTTTGCTTGTCTGTGTAACTTTTGCTTGGGTATTTAATGTACACCCAAACTTGCTCATAGCTTCTTCTTTCCTGTGTAACTTCTGCTTGGGTATTTTATGTACACCCAAACTTTCTCACAGCTTCTGCTTGTGTAACTTCTGCTTGGGTATTTAATGTACACCCAAACTTGCTCACAGCTTTTGCTTACGTAACTTTTGCTTGGATATTTATGTACATCCAAACTTGCTCGCAGCTTTTGCTTTTTGCTTGGGTATTTATGTACACTCAAACTTGCTCACAGCTTTTGCTTGCGTAACTTTTGCTTGGATATTTATGTACATCCAAACTTGCTCGCAACTTTTGCTCTTGCATTGGATTTTGCTTTGTGACTTTCCGTCTCATAACTCTTGTTAGACCTGTGCATCTTGTAATTGAATTCCTCTGCTTGGAGCTTTTTGGCCTATGTGGCCTTCTCCCAAAAGTTTCTCTAGAGAAAGGTTAGTTTTCTTAAAAACACAATAACTTGCATGATTATTAAGGTTGAAGATTAGAAAATTAAAAAGTAAATATACTTAGCTGGGATCGCAGCTTTCTTTTAAGATTTGTGCATGTAGAATTTTGAGATGTCTATCTTGCCTTGTGAATACAGAATTTGATTCATCATTTGATGTGGTTGAATGTGATTGTAACAAAGCTTCTTCAAACATGGAGGTAGTTGTATTCTCCACCTTTTGACAAAGTGCTTGCTTTTCTATCTATCCAATCATGATAATGCTGCGTAGGTATTTGAGTCACATAATTGAGTTGCTAGATTTTGATATCCAGTACATTCTTACATGTGGTAGATGTTTGCTTATACATCTCTTGCAAGCGCATGTTTATTTATTAGGTGCATTATGACTCTAAGTCTGAAAGTCCTGCAAACATGTACTCCTTTGTGGCAGTAGATTACCTGCGCATTATATCATCTTAAGATTTTCTCCTGCGTAGGTTCAGAGCAGAAACAAGCTATATAGATTTTGTTATCTTAATTTCTTTAGAGACATGAGAAAATTGTTAGTGCTTTCTATCAAGGAAATCAATGCTGATTGAGCGAGATTGTTGCCATTGAGCGAGATCTGCTAATTGAGCGAGATTGTTGCTATTCAATATCTCTGATTTG